GGCCCTGCTCTGTGTGTGACAGGGTAGAGCCATAACCTCCCCATCGGCCCTGCCGTGAGTGTAACAGTGGTGGCGCCCCAACCCCCTGATCCGCCCTGCTGTGTGTGTGACAGGGGGCGGTGCCCTAACTCCCCTATCGGCCCTACTCTGTGCGTGACAGGGGGGAGCTCCTCAACCCCCTGATGGGCCCTGCTCTGTGCATGACAGTGGGGAGCTCCCCAACCCCCTGATTGGCCCTGCTCTGTGCGTGACAGGGTACGGAGCCCCAACCCCCCTGATGGGCCCTGCTCTGTGTGTGACAGGGGGCAGTGCCCCAACCCCCTGATTGGCCCTGCTCTGTGCATCACAGGGGGTGGCCCCTCAACCTCCCCATCGACCCTGCCTTGAGTGTGATAGGGGGCGGTGCCCCAACCCCCCAATCAGCCCTACCCTGAGCGTGACTGAGGGTGGCATCGCAACCTCCCAATCCGCCCTGCTCTGTGCATGACAGGGGGCAGCGCCCCAACTCCCCAATCAGCCCTGCTCTGAGCCCGACCAGGGGCTGCACCTAGGGATTGGGCCTGCCCTCTGCCACCTGGGAGCAGGCCTAAGCCAGCAGGTCATTATCTCCTGAGGGGTCCCAGACTGCGAGAGGGCACAGGATGGGCTGAGGGACCCCCTCTCCCCGCCAAGTGCACAAATTTTTGTGCACTGGGCCTCTAGTCTATCTAATAATAGGATAATATGCAAATTGGTTGGACGCTGTCACATAATGACTGATCAGCAGGCTGCATCCCCGCCCCCTGTGCTGGCCCAGAGACATGAGGCTCACGTCCCTGCCCTCTGCGCTGGCCTGGAGACATGAGACTCACGTCCCCGCCCCCAGCAATGGGCCCCGGGATGTGAGGCTTGTGTCCCCGCCCCCGGCAATGGGCCTATGATGTGAGGCTCACGTTCCTGGCCCCCTGGCCCAGGGGCGGGTTTGTGGTGGGGCCTCTGCCACCACGTGCTGGGGTCTGCAGGCCTCCCCTGGCTCTGGCCTACCTCTTTGGGGCAATCCATTGAGGAGCCCTGGATGGGTGGGTGGGGCCTACCTCCTTGGAGTGATTTATCGCGGGGCTCCCACACTGTGACAGGGCACAGGTCATGCTGGAAACATCCCCCCGCCGCCCGCCCGAGTGCACAAATTTCGTGCACCGGGCCACTAGTTACTTATAGGACTCAAGCTAAACTTTGGGATTGAATACAGTAGTAAAACTATTTTGATTATCATGTAAATGATTGTTTTAGCCATCAGGTTGTTATTTATTAACTAATGGCCCAGTGCACGGATTCGTGCACATTGAAAGGGAAATAATTAGAAGAATTATTTTAATATTGCTATTTATCCTTTCTCCCTCAGTGCCTGGGAGAGAATGACCTCTTAGTGTATGGGTCAATGCTCAACCACTGAGTCACACCGGACGGGCCCCCTTGCCCCCACCGCCACTGCTGGTCGCCATTTGCGGGGCAATCAGCAGGGCGATCCCCCGCCGCCAATCCCCCACCGCCGCCACCAGTCACCGTCTGCAGGGTGATTGGCGGGGCGATTGGGCCCCTGCTCACACCCGCCTTGGTCTGGTGATGCCCACTCACTGGCTCCACCATCCCACCATGGTCCCGCTCTCATCAGAGCCCATTGGGGCCGGCAGCGTCTCCACTGCCGCCTGCTGCCAGTGCCGCATCGCCAATGCCTGCCATGTTCTGCGCCGCTGCCTGGTGGTCAATGCATGTCATAGCAAGCAGTCGAACTCCCAGTTGAGGGGACAATTTGCATATTAGGTTTTTATTGTATAGGATGTGTTTAAGTTAAGAATAAGTTTGTCTTGCTCTTGTCAAAGTCACCAGTGAATTTCTTCTGTCGAAGCCAAATGCTGAGAAGGATGAGACCAGGGGAGAACCTTGGTACCTCCTTGCAGCTCCGTCTCCACCATCTTAACAGCAGTGAGATGACAGTAATCTCTTCCTAAGTACCTCTCATTCATGCTTGTTGGGCCTGTTTCCCAGTCACCGCATCCACTCCTGATTTCTCCAACACTGTCTTAGATTGTAATGATAATTTGTAGTTTTGTTCCTGTTTCCTATGCTCTCTCTGTGCTTGGGTACTTGTCCTGCCGTCCTGCCTTTAGAAATTATTGTAGTGCATTTTCTTTTGCATTTCTCTGCCTCCTTGGAGATACTTTGGAAAGTGCTTATACAAATAGATGCCTGGTAAATGTTGGTAACTGAAGTCTAGTGCTTAATTTCAGTTTAGCTTGTGTTTGTCATAATTATGTTCTTTTGCTTGCTTTCTAGGCACACAAACGAATGGTCTGGACTTTCAGAAGCAGCCTGTGCCTGTTGGAGGAGCAATCTCAACAGCCCAGGCCCAGGCTTTCTTCGGACATCTCCACCAGGTAGAATGTTCTGCTTGACTGTGAGCAAGGGAAGGATGGAGGCCTGGATGCTGGGGCCTGGGCAGGTCTTTCAGGATGTGGGACTTCTTAAGCTGATCGAGCCTGGTGCTAATCACATCTAATCGTGCCATTCTGAATGGCTAGTCCACATCGTATAGTTTAGTTGACTATAGCTATTGACCTCACAGCTGAGAATGTGTCAATATTATGTTAGTACTCCATCGATTATGTTTGCCTGAGTCATTTATTATTATCATGGTCCCAGTGGTGATCCTTATTTTAATGTAACCGTGGTTTGAATTTCTGAACATATGACATGTGAGTATGAAATAGTATGACAGCATTCTGTGTGTTTTGTAGGACAGAATCCTTTCAGCTAGAGCTTGTCGTTAGGGCTATCATGTCTTAAAAACTTGACTATGTGGTGTGCACATATGTAAGATTTTTACTCTGCTGTGTACATGGAGATTTTGAAATTAGAGTGAGCAGATAATTCTGATAGATTATAATAACAATAATGCACGTAAGTAGCTTGTTCATATGTGTTCTTTCACACAATGTGGAAGATGAATTAAGTTTTTAGATCTAAGTGTCTATGAATACAAGCAGAATGTGATGTACGGAATGTCTGACTGACACAGTGTGGCATCCCAGTGATGCTAACTGAGTGTGGGCAACACCCTCCAGAAAGCAGTGGGAGCAGCATTTTCTCCTGGGCGGTGGAGGGACCGCGAACTTGTCTGCGCAGTTTTAACCCCAGCAGGTAAACTTCTTTCAGCCTCAGTTCTAGCTCAATGACACACTTGGTAGAGGCGCTTGAAGTCCTTGTTGAGGACAGCTCTAATGATGGTGTCAGCAAGTAGACCCTGATGCCCCTGGTTGCTTACCTGCAGGTCCAGCTCGCAGGAACAAGTTTACAGGCCGCTGCTCAGACTTTAAATGTACAGGTAAGCTGGCACGTGGGCTTGCGGGCAATTTTTCCATTTTCCCCTAGTTTCCCAATTTCATGGAATGAGCAGGCAATCTACACTAATAAAAGAGAAACATGGTAATTGGCGTACGACCGCTACCCTTTTCATTGGCTAATCAGTGAGTATATGCAAATTAACTGTCAGCCAAGATGGCGGCCGGCAGCCAGGCACTGAAGCGAGCAGGGAGGCTTGCTTGCTGCAGACTCCAACGTTCCCCGCCTAACTTGCCAGCCTCTCAGTTGCAACTCTAAGCAACTATATACTATGTTGCAAATAAGAAGCTAAACAAAACCCCAGAAAAGGGCTTCCATTCAGCCGGGCTCGGACCGCAACATTGTATCTATGTTTTCAGCAGCAAGGCCTCAAAGCTAAAACTGGCCCAGAAAAAAAAAAAAAAAAGAGAAGAAAACAAGGAGCGGTTGGAAGCTTCAGTCACTCGC